TGTATTAATTTTATAATTAAAGTAGTAGTATAAATTGAATAATATATATATTATTATTATTTTAAAGTAAAACGTTTATGATTAATATATAAATAAAGTCCAATTTATAAAAAATAGTGTGTTAGGTCAAGTGGCATTGAAGCTCACTTGGGTGCCCATCACCCAAGGTTCAATTCCCCATCTCTACATTTTTTTTGTAAAAATGCCACATAATTTGCCAACTAAGCATCAGATTTACAACTCAGCAAAAAAAAAAAAATGTAAAAATGCCACGTAGACTAGCCGGTAAAAATGACCTGCTTTTGCCGGTGACAGGACCATTTCTCACGATTTTTGCCACTTACGGGACGTGATCCAAAAGTGGGCATCGGAGATGACCAAACCTCAAATAGGTGCCACTTACATGACGAAATCTCCAATTTTTCCCTCGACCCTCCGCCGCCGGTGCTCGACAAATCGAGCTCCCCTTTTATCAATCTAATGCATGTTTTGCATCCAAAAGAATTCTACAATTGAGACGGCAGGACTCCAGGGGTTGACGCCTGAAGAAGACGGCCAACGGCCCTTCCAAAGTCATGGAGATGACATATCTGCGATAGGGAGAGAGAGGGACAACCATGTTTGGAGAGAGAGAGACCACCTTCCAAAGCCATGGAGATGACAGATCTTTCTTTTTGGAGGTATAATATATTTTTGTGTGAGAGATGAACAATAATAATGCGTGATTTGGAGGGTTAGTTTTGATTTTATTTGGTAACTGCAACTAATAAATCTATCTTAATTGTAGATAATATAATATATTTTTATTCCCCAAACTGATGTCCTGTATATATGCAAATAAAATCCCATGATTTTGTAATTTTGCTAAAAGTTTATGTTTGAACCGTAAAAGTGCAAATGAATTGTTGTGCAGTCATCCCTCGAGTATTTTCCTCTAATATATATTCAATTGTGTTATTGTTCATCATATTTTCCAAATATTTTTTCTTGTAAAGTAGCTTCTGGTTTAGGAGCTTTTGCTTTGCTCTGCTATGTTCTTTTAATTCTGGACCTTTGTTGTTTTCTTTTCTTTAGTTGGTTTTCTCTTTTGTTTGGAGTTTGTAGTAGTCTCTTTGGTTGTTAGCTTTTTATTTTCGCCACTAGGCCTTATGGCAGTGGAGGTTGGTGTTTGAGTTTGGTTTCCGAGTTCTAGGCCGCTTTGTCGTGTTCTCTAATTTTTTATATTCAGGTTTGGCTCGCTATATTGGAACTTTGTACTTTCGTTTGAGTTTTTTGTTAAAAAAAAAAAAAAAAAAAAATGATTAACTTTAAAGATACTATTTTAATACCTTATCCTTTATACTATGGAGAAAATGTAACTAGGTATTTAGAAAGATTGAACTTGTGAGCATACATTGGATTCCAAATTTATATGTCATAAACAAAAGGCAGAAAAACACTCACAAACTAACAATTTAAAATTAACCACCACAGACAACAATGGTAAAAGGAAAACAATATATCGGATAACACCGATCGAGGGTCATGACTTCGAGCAATGGTGACAACCATTAATTAGCAAAATCAGAGACAAACAAGACTTTTCTAACAATCAATAGTTCATCAAGGAATTACTGATATTATGTTTCTAATTTTCAACACATTTTTTTTTTTTTTTTTTTTTCAATTTTGTAAAAAAAATTCAACTTAAACATTGGAGATTATTTTCCAGCAACCAATACATTTATATGATTTAATATAAAATATATTCTGTTTTATTAGAACAACGAAGAAAACTAAATATAATACAGGTATAAATCAAATAAAATAACAAATTTTAAATCACAAAAAAATATTATATAATCACATGCATGTACACGTGCATATTCCTAGTTGAAAAGCATAGGTAACAAGCAGAGATGCAGCCACTATGTAGTTATAAATAAATTTTGGAGTAGACAGCATGCACATTATTCTACCCAGTTTAAGTCGAACTCTTTGAGCTTCATGAGCCAGGTGTGTGTATCTTGTGAAGTGTGTGGTTGTGAGGATATTTTGTCGTTAAAATTGAGATTGTTAGAGATGAAGTACTCAGGTTTATTGTTTTCCTTGGGTAGGGCAGCCACAGCTTGTCTGTTAGGATGCCTCAGTTTGAGAGACAGAAGACGTGAGACTTCGTGCAGCCCTCCCCATTTCTCCAAAGCACGTGCAATGTCATAACGACCTGCATTAAAACAAACTATTACCAACTCAAATATTGTAATTATGCAAAACCATTTTTTGTGTAATCACAGCGCCTTGGTGTAGTGTAGTAAAACAAATACT